GGACCCACTCCATAGAAGGAGTGTCGATTTCAATGGCTTCATCAAATTCAGGAGGTTTATTATTTCTAGGCACAATCCCAGGATCTCTACTGGCTGTAAGGAAGAGAAAGAATATATCCTGCAAAATTATATTAATATTTGTAAGTAATCACTAGATACGTAGAGATATCAACATGCCCATATTTGCTATTTAGAAACTCTTTTTTTTTAAAAAAAAAAGTAGTAAATATCATAAGAAAAAACAGAAAGAACAAGGGAACCTAAGTACAACCAAAAGGAGATGAATTTATAAGATCTCGAAATTTTCTAGATATGCCAAGAAATACGATGAAAATGGAAATGATATAAAATTCCATATTGGAGAGTGATTAATACAGAACACCTTCTGTGTAGCACTTTTACTCGCCTTAACTCACAATTTAACCCGACACTTCCATTTTTCCATTACTTAATTTCAACCTTCCCCATACATATAAACTTTCAGCTTAAGATAAAAGTGACAAGTTTCACGATAAACGTGCAGGCTAAAGTGCAGCATAACACGGGTTGAAGATGTTATACTCACCAAAACAGTTAGCAGTACAGCCACAATAAGAACAGAATACCAAGGGAAGGCGTTTTTGTTCTCTCTCAGCTGGTTTCTGATAATAAACAAGATCTTTATACAAAAGCCAATTGCTGGACCTGCTATTAGGAATATGGATAGGAACAAAGAAGACACATCTGGACCAAATATCAATCTTCCTCCAAACAAGAATTTCTGCAACAAATGGAAACAAGACAAAATAGTTAAAAAAGCTTATGAGTGATTGATGTGTAATATTGTGCCGAAAACCATATTTTGACTTGCCGGTTCAGCTATTCGTAGACTTGTAACATTAAACCTTCCCAACATGAATCTTTGTAAAAGGTCATCAAGAAAACTACTAAGAATTTCAAGAAACAAGCATAAATTCTGCAAGTGGTGCAAATTTAGTCTCTTCATACAAGTTAAAATGGATCATTTCACTTCAAACATCTTCACACAGCCAAAAAATACAAAAGAAGGCCCTTTTATCCAAGAAAAATCTAACCCAGAACACAACAAAACCTCTTCTTCCTCATTTAATATTCAGACACAACAAGCAAGCAACAAATCAAAAGAAGCCCAAAAGAAATTATGCTTACATTACTTCCTCTCCAAACTTGATAAAGCCTCTTGGTCTTGGGCTTGGGTTTATCACGGTCCATATAGCTTCTTCAATGTCGAAGAAAAGAACAAAAATTCGAAAAAAAAAAATAATAATAATAATAATAATAATCTGGAATTAAGAAAACCCAAAACCCGATTGCTGTTAATTTTCAAAAAACAAAAGCTCCTCCCCTTCCTCCCATTTGTTCCTCGGCAACGGGCCACGCACAAAAAGGCATCAAAAGCCCGAAAGGTCGCGCCTTTTCACCATTCCTCACCATTGCATGCAAAATCATGCATATAAATTTTGGGAAATCAAGAAATCGAGATGGGGTTTGGGCCGAGAGATAGATAGAGAGAGAGAGAGATAGAGAGAAGGGAGAGGAGAAAACGTTAATGGTGTGATCAAGAAAACAGCTTCTTTTGCCCTCCCGAGACGGAATTTTGTTCAAGAAAAAGGGAATGTTTGTTCGTCCTCCCTAAAATCGGTTTAATTCATTAATTGTCACTCTAATTTTTACTATTTAGACACCAGTCGACCAATGGATTAGTCGGGGCATATCTCTAGATACCGCAGTTGACTATAAAAAAAATAAAAATTAGACCCATCAAATTTTAAATTTAATTTATTTATTAAATACCGATTTGAAACAATTTTTTGAATTTAAAAAATCTTGATTCTAAAAAAGTTCCAAATTATGAGCATTTTGGAATAAATGATTGTAAATTTAGTTGTCTTTATCTATCAAGTTAATTATTTACCAAACTTGTGTACCATAAATCAATTAACCCAACCAACTACAAATATTTGGAGATTTGAAATTTGTAATAAGGTCAATCCTATATATAATGAATTTAATTGGAACAAATCTTTTACTTGTGCTAATGGAAACCTTCTAGGTCAAATGTGGAAAGCATATACTATTTCCTTAAAAAAAAAAAAACATTTTTTTCTGTTATGTGTCTATTATACTTAGAGGAAATGTTGTAGTTTTGTTACTGAACCATTTGGTCGGGCTTTATAACCGTTAGATCAATTATCCATGACGGTTATATGATGATCTAACGGTTACAAATTCCGACGGAATAGTCCAGTAACGGGACTGCAGCATTTTCCTATACTTTATATGTCATATATTCTGATAAATATGATAAACAAATAAATACAGCAATATGTATAGCCTTCGAAATTACTTGATTTTGAAATAAATACAACAATCATATGATGTAGGTTTTATTTACTTAAAATAGCTAATGGCATATTTTTATGTTTTTTTAAGGAAGTGATTTATCAGTTAAATTTGTTGTCTAGCTAACCGTTACCAATATATTTTATTTGGAAATTCTAAAAATTACAAATTATACAATTATAATATATTGTAATTTATATGTATTGGGGTTCAATTAGTGTACAATTAACATCTATAAACAATCTGTAGCCGTCCCTTTTTCTGAAAATTAAATTAAATAACCGCGCTTTAATTAATTTGTCGTCCTAAAACACTTAGCTATACTTTTTTTTTTTTTTCAATTAAAATCTAATATCTGCCAACTTTTAAATTATAATATTCTACAATACTCTATAGATTAGATGTCATCTATTTAACGTGCGGGCACAACATTCATGTTCCTATGGTTTTACTTTTAGGCACTTTTTTTTAAATTTTAATTAGTAATTTTGTTTAATAAATTAAACTCCAATTTATCAGAGTATGAGAATGAAGGTTAAGCAATAATAACTATCAAATTAGCCATTATATGTGGTGGGTTATGTTAATCAAATACAAAATGATCAAAAACAGAAAAAAAAA